GTACCTATTGTACTGCTAGGTAACAGGGGCATAGGGTGAAAGAAACTGTCCATTGTTTCTCGCCGGCGCCCGGGATCGAACCCGGGACCACAGGATCACAAGTCCAGCGTGCTGTCCGCTCGGCCGACCGGCTCCCGAGGAAGGACTAGCTTTTACATGTTTTCCAACGTGATGACTTCGAGGTCTGCGCAGTGTGGTTATATATATATATATTAGCTTGATACAGATAGGGCCTCGTAGCCTGGGGCCAGATTCACGAAAGCACTTACGCAAGCACTTACGAACCTGTACATCTTTTCTCAATCTTTGGCGGCTTGGTTTTCAATTATTAAACAGTTCATGAGCTCCGAAGCACCAGGAGGCTGTTTATAACAATAACAACAGTTGATTGGGAAGTTTTCATGCTCGTAAACTATTTAATAAATGTAACTAAAGCCGTCAAAGATTGAGGAAAGATGTATACGTTCGTAAGTGCTTGCATAAGTGTTTTCGTGAATCTGGCCCCTGGTGGATAGCGCGCAGGACTCGTAATTCTGTGGCGCGGGTTCGATTCCCGCACGAGGCAGAAACAAATGGGCAAAGTTTCTATCACCCTAAATGCCCCTGTTACCTAGCAGTAAAATAGGTACCTGGGAGTTAGTCAGCTGTCACGGGCTGCTTCCTGGGGGTGGAGGCCTGGCCGAGGACCGGGCCGCGGGGACACTAAAGCCCCGAAATCATCTCAAGATAACCTCTCAAGATAACAGAGCACACAAAATTCTATGCCTAAATCCACATAAGTCATCGTACGTCACTTGTTCCACGACGCACGACAAATTCTTCTTTTTTGGTCTTTATTTCTCCAAGTTTTCTTTTTCGAAATCTTAGCAAGAAAAATTGGGGTTTTGAGTCATTCCCTCGACGACCACGGCGACCTCTGGGGGGTTAAACCCCCCCCCCCCCCTTGTAATCACTGACCCCCTCTTACGCCCCCAAATTTTGACCAGTATATTTGTTTACTCCAGCTTAGCGGGTTGGGCAGTATCTCTGTATTTCTGCTTGTGGTACATAGTGAAGACGGCTTTAAGACGCTGTATTTCTTGTCTTATATGACGAGGATCTGCTGAAGGTCGGTGGATGAGAATGTTTTATAAGCTGGTGGATGACGGTGTGTAGTAGGCTGGTGGATGACAGTAAGCTGGTGGATGACGGTGTGTAGTAGGCTGGTGGATGACAGTGTGTAATAGGCTGGTGGATGACGGTGTGTAGTAGACTGGTGGATGACAGTGTGTAATAGGCTGGTGGATGACGGTGTGTAGTAGGCTGGTGGATGACAGTAAGCTGGTGGATGACGGTGTGTAGTAGGCTGGTGGATGACGGTGTGTAGTAGGCTGGTGGATGACAGTAAGCTGGTGGATGACGGTGTGTAGTAGGCTGGTGGATGACGGTGTGTAGTAGGCTGGTGGATGACAGTGTGTAATAGGCTGGTGGATGACGGTGTGTAGTAGGCTGGTGGATGACAGTGTGTAGTAGGCTGGTGGATGACGGTGTGTAGTAGGCTGGTGGATGACAGTGTGTAGTAGGCTGGTGGATGACGGTGTGTAGTAGGCTGGTGGATGACAGTAGGCTGGTGGATGACAGTGCGTAATAGACTTGGAGTTGTTTAACGAGAATGAACAGATCAAGAAACTTAAATACACTGAACGGAAACTGAAAATCATTTGTATTAGAAAGAGTGACACGTGCGTCGGTTAATCCATGCGTCGGTTAATCCATGCGTCGGTTAACCCACGCGTCGGTTAACCCACGCGTCGGTTAATCCATGCGTCGGTTGAGAGAAGCGTTGGTTAACCTATGCATTGATTGACCGATGCATCAGTTAGCCCATGCGTCGGTTGGCAAATGCGTCGGATAGCATCCATGCATCGGTTAGGAAGAAGCTTAAAATGATTGTGCGTCGGTGTACCCATGCAGCATTAATCCTCAACGTAGAGGAACGCATGCGCTCATCAATCTGTGCTCTAGATAACCAGTGCGTCGGCACAGAGGGCGGAAGTGCGCGGGAAAGGGAGGGGGTGTAGGGTAAGGGAGTGAGGGGAAGGGAGCTACCCAAGAGGGGATGAAGGGAAGAGCTGCCCCAATATACACGGTATAACAAAAGCATTGCTTCAACGTCAGGTCAATGTTGCTTCAACGTTATATGAATGTTGCTTCAACGTTGTATAAATGTTCCTTCAACGTTGTATAAATATTGCTTCAACGTTGTATCAATATTGCTTCAACGTTGTATCAATGGTGCTTCAATGGTATATAAATGTTGCTTGAACGTTATATCAATGGTGCTTCAATGGTATATAAATGTTGCTTGAACGTTGTATCAATGGTGCTTCAATGGTATATAAATGTTGCTTGAACGTTGTATCAATGGTGCTTCAATGCCAGCTCGACGTTGCTGCAACGTTGCTTCAATGTTAGATCAACATGGCCTCAGTGTCGCTACAACATTGCTACACCGTCAGAACAACATTGGATGTGTTTATTGGGGTAAAGTGAAGCAGCCAGAACTACTTCCATGCACAAGAATTAGCAAGAATATAAACAACGAGGGTGAACAAGATCCGAGGTATTCTTAGTTACAGTGTATTCTTGATTGGTACGGGTGTAATTTTTGTTTTCATTGTAGTGCATTATTTCTCGTCATGGTGTATTCGTAATCGCTAGTGTTTGTAATCTTTAGTGATATATATATTTAATGGCTACGGTGTTATTCTTAATGGCCATTACAGTGTATCACTAATCATTACACTGTATCCGTAATCGTTACAGTGTATTCTTAATCGTGAAAATGAATGCTAGAGTGTATAAGTGTATTCTGTAGCATGGCAATGTAGTGGGAAGCGTGTGTATTTCACACTGCATATGTGTATTAATGAGATAGACAGTATAGTTTGAAAATCAGCCCTTTCCCTTCAGACATGTAACGTAGTTATGAAGTGTGGTGGAGTGTGACAGTATGTGGTGGAGTGTGAGGTGGAGTGTGGCAGTGTGTGGTGGAGTGTGACAGTGTGTGGTGGAGTGTGGCAGTGTGTGGTGGAGTGTGGCAGTGTGTGGTGGAGTGTGGCAGTATGTGGTGGAGTGTGACAGTATGTGGTGGAGTGTGAGGTGGAGTGTGGCAGTGTGTGGTGGAGTGTGACAGTGTGTGGTGGAGTGTGGCAGTGTGTGGTGGAGTGTGGCAGTATGTGGTGGAGTGTGGCAGTATGTGGTGGAGTGTGAGGTGGAGTGTGGCAGTGTGTGGTGGAGTATGACAGTATGTGGTGGAGTGTGGAAGTATGTGGTGGAGTGTGACAGTGTGTGATGGAATGTGGCAGTATGTGGTGGAGTGTGATGGTGTGTGAAAAAGTATGAGTGTATGCTGGAGTGCATGTTCTCCAGCATACATCCTAGCTTCCAGTCCCACACTCATCATCTCTCATACTGCTATGCTCCACTCCTCTCTCTCTACGTCACGCGGAAAGTATTACCGCATAACGTGGTGGAGGTGGAGTCCCTCCATTGTTTCAAGCGTGGGTTGGACATGTATATGAGTGGGATTGGGGTGGTTAACCCTGGAAACACAAACCGAAACTGTCTCTATTTTCCGTTTGTTACAACTTGTAATAAAGTTGTTACATCTTGGCTTAACGTGTTTATGACGTATTAGAACGTTGTTACAACTTGCTATATTGGTTGTTATAACTGGTTAGGTGGTGTTAAAACTTGTTCGAACGTTGTACCAACGTCGTAGTTTCGGTGTGTGTTTGGCGGGAATTAGAAATAGGAGCTGCCTCGTATGGGCCAATAGGCCCTCTGCAGTTACCTTTGTTCTTATGTTCTTACGTTCTTATGTTCTCTCTGTTCAGCTCTGATGAGGGCTTGAAAATAAGCCGAAAGCTATTATCTTTTCGAATTTTCCCCATGGACATTCTGTACACATCAGTGCTTTTGATAATTATTTCCGGAAACGGCATGTGCTTCAAATAAGTATAATTAGTTCCATTAGATAGACATGCCAGTTAAGATGAAGGTATTATGGACAAAAATACCATGAGGATTATTCGTTTTCTTTTCAATCAACAGTTTGCAATGTGGTGAATGACTTGGATGTAGAACTGGTCCAACCAGATGATTCACATTAAATGTATTGTAAACATTTTAAAACGAAGATTCCTCCTTGAAATATAAAAGAAATGATAAAGAAAAACTTAAATCAAATAAGATTGATTAAAAAGTAAGTAATTTTGAATCATCGGCTGTTAAATCATTGTGCTTAAATTTCGAAGTATTTCTTTGAACATTTGACAAAATGTCGAGAACAACCCGAAACAAAAACGTATGGTGATTATCATGGTAGACAACACACCATGAACCGTCATGGTAGCGAGAACACCATGACGAAGGCCATGTCAGTAGGAGATGCCATGGGAAACATGACGAGCCAGAGGCCAGATTCACGAAAGAACTTACGCAAACACTTACGAACGTGTACATCTTTCCCCAATCTTAGACGGCTTTGGTTACATTTATTAAACAGTTTACAAGCATGAAAACTTCCCATTCAACTGTTGTTATTGTTATAAACAGGCTCCTGGGGCTTCGGAGCTCGTTAAGTGTTTAATAATTGGAAACAAAGCCGCCAAAGATTGAGAAAAGATGTACACGTTCGTAAGTGCTTTCGTGAATCTGGCCCCAGATTCATAGCGGAACAGACGTCGTGGGTGAAAGCCTCGTGTCACACAATAACGTTACCATGATAATTATAGAAGACACCATGAGGGAAAGGCCCCATGGCATAAAAGACCACGAAGCAGAGGAGACACAGTGCGGTGAGGCTCGTGGTAGAGAAAGAGAGAGAGAGAGAGAGAAACGATGGAAGAGAGAGAGAGAATAACATGACCAAGAGAGATACAATACACAAAGACATCAAGCTATGCACAAGTGCGTGTGGGTCATGCGGGCGGGCACTACGGCTACAGGAAACCTACCTTATTGTTGGACTGTAGCGGGCAAAGCACAGAGTTTATGCCATGTAAGGAGAGAAGAAAAAATAAAACAAAACAGTGAAAAAAAAATAATATTTTAATTTTGGGGGAGGTGGGAGATCAGCGCTGGCAGGAGATTGGATAGAAGAGTAGAGATAGAAGCAGAGGAAAGTTGACACGCTGGAATGATCATCGTAAATGCAAATATAGTGGGTTGAATATTGTCATTTACAGTGTGTGATTTACAACAGGGAGCATCAATCTCTAACCCTAAGAGCTCCTCCTGCCAGCGTCGAAGAGCATTACAATAAACAAACCCTCTCAACACCAGTTTTTGGCTATACAAGCCTAATAATGCTGTCTGTAGCTCCTTGAAACAGATTATGAGTTTAAAGCACACTTCAGTCCGTTCTGGAAATCATGAATACATAACAAAAACAAAGATTTGACAAAGTTTGGTCTGGCTGTGAGTATTTTTTTTATGTTGCTGTTGTCAATGTTGTAGATGTTGTTGAAGTTTTTTTTGCAATGTGTATGTGATACATTATAATACTTGGGGGCGGGGAAATACAGATACAAGCGATGGGTTCCCTACATACACACAATCATCCAACTCATTATTGCTCATCGTTAGCGTCATTATACTAACGTAAATAAACTAAACACGTGTCTTCAACAGTCACAAAATTGGGCACAGTGGAAATTTGGACACATATTTTGAGCGAAATAAACTAATAACAAATGTCCATAGAAAGAAACAAAGAATCTAATGCATGAAAAACAGAAATAAGTCGGCTCGTATGGACTGTTTAACCTACAGGAGGGAAGAATGAATTAGCAAGGAAGGAAGGAAGAGAGATGAAAACAGAGTTGAGAAATCAGACAACAGCGAAGAGATGAGGCTTGTAACCCAACATATACTGGAGCTGCTCAATCCCGCAATATATTGGTGATTCTGAGAGTAGAGGACTTGACGCGACATGGATCAAAATATAGAAGAAAAATATGTAGAATATAGATGGAAGTTAGAGAGAATAGACAAGACAAAAGACGTTGACAGTGTAATATATATATCAGAAAGGGAGAAAAGTGACATAGCAATGAAAAATATATATAAATTTGTATAATTTTTTTTGATAGATGAATTTTGATATCTATAAATATATTTAGTTTTTTAACGACACTGCAGAAGCTTGCGAGGCTTGGGGAAGGAAAGAGACCAGATTGGATTTGGATGAGAGAGAGAGAGAGAGGTACAGGAAGTGAAGGGAGGTTATCTCAAGTGGGGTTATCTTGAGGTTATCTTGAGATGATTTCGGGGCTTTTTAGTGTCCCCGCGGCCCGGTCCTCGACCAGGCCTCCACCCCCAGGAAGCAGCCCGTAACAGCTGACTAACTCCCAGGTACTAATTTACTGCTAGGTAACAGGGGCATTCAGGGTGAAAGAAACTTTGCCCATTTGTTTCTGCCTCGTGCGGGAATCGAACCCGCGCCACAGAATTACGAGTCCTGCGCGCTATCCACCAGGCTACGAGGCCCACAAAGATGGAGAGGGAGAGAAAATGGAGAAAAGAAAGGGATGGAACATAGACGAGAATATTTTTACGTCTAAAGAACGTAAACTTATAAGAGGCTTCTGCAAGCTCATGGGGAATCATCGACCTCCAAATCAACAATGGGAAGTTGAAATTAATTTTTTATATTTTTCCTCCAGTAAAGGGATTTGTATAAAGTTAAATTAATGTGATTTGTCGCAAAAAAATAGGATTTTGCTTTTTTTAATTCAACATTAAGTGAAAAGTAGGCAAGTTCTACGACGTTCATCTTGGGAGAGATTATTCATATCGTTTTGAATTAGAGAAAAATAAGTTACAAAAGTATACATATGCATAATTCTTTATTTCGTTTATATCTAAATAAATAAAAATCTTGCCCTTTAGATCATATTCAACAACATATGTCTACAAGAAAGAATGCTACCAAAATATACTAATTCTAATCTATATAAATAAAATTGTAAATGTTCGTTTGTTCAAAATCGCTAACCTCCGAAAGTTCTTTACCAACTGCTTTCAAATTTTCACACAACGTTACATTCGCATCCGAGCGGGTTTATATATACATACTATACAAGGTCTTCTCTGAGTACTCATCATTTTCTTCTCCGAGGCTATGGGTCCCTACACTTGCACCAGAGGTGGTACCCCTTTTAGGTACTATATAGATGTCACGTCTGTGACGGGGAAAAATGCTTTTTTGAAAAACTGTGTTTTTCATGTGTTAGAAACTTCTTTAGCGATTGCTTTGAAATTTTAACACAACGTTGCATTCGAATAGGCGCGTGTTTTTATATACCTACTATATACATGCCTCACCTGGGGACAGGATTTTTTTTTTTTTAAACAGCGCCATCTGTTGGACGTAAAGAGTAACACACGCTGTAATCTCCGAAAGTTCTTCACCGATTGCTTTGAAATTTTGACACAACTTTCCACTCAAACACATGAGTTTTTTTTTATATATACTACTGTATAGATGCCACACCTGTGACAGGTAAAAACATGCGTCTTTTGAAAAACAGCGCCATCTGTTGCACGTAAGAGCAGCACACGCTATACTAAATATGTTACGATTCCATTTCAATGTTATTGATTGCATTGATAAATTAAATTTTCATAGATTTCGATTTATTTTCATTTTTGATTTAATTATTTTGTGTGACATACCCTTGGACTTGAGCTGTGTTCTTTACCATACTGTTCATTTCATGAGTAAAGTTTAATTTGTTACTTGCCCGAAACGCATTGCGTAATAGTGGCTTTAGGCATTGTATGTACTAGCTCTATCTATATATCAATCCATTAATGTAACATCACTTGTATGTATATACCTTACCTGAATAAACATCTGAATCTGAATCTTTTCATTATTTTTCATTTCGTTTTTTTAATTATTTTTCAGTGATGGAACATCAGATCATTTGATGTTCTCAATTTTCTGATGGGGACATCAAATCATTTGGGAAGGCATCGGACGAGGGAGTGGGGAATGGTGGGGAGGATTAGGGGACGGGGTACTTGGGAATGGTGGGAACGAGGGGACCGGGGAAATGGAGAATGATGGGGAGAGCAAGGGGACAAGGTGTTACGACCCTGGGTTCTCCAGTGGAAACCAGAGGTCAAAATTGAGCTATTAAACTTCCTGGTAGCACAGTTGGGCATCTAGAATGTCAATTGTTTGTATCTTCCCTGCCAGACGTAAGACTATTATTGTTTCTCAAAGAGCATTTAAAGACTGAGCTGGGGGTTGATTATTAAATAATAACATAGGCACCAACTTTGCTTACTAATACTTTCTAATCATTCATAAAGTAACAATACGTTGCATAGGGGAAGATCTTTAATGTGCTTAGCTGCACGATCAATTAGGCTCCTCCCGGCACCACGACATGAGGGAGGCAGCTGGTGGCTAGCTCGGTCTTCTCTTGGCTGGTGGCGTGAGGTTAAGACCTACTCTGTGGCTGTATCCCTACTCTCCTTCCTTCTCCTCTTACTTATATCCCTTACCTGAAGTTCCTGTACCCTTAAGTTAAGTATTATATGGTGTAAGTGTGCCTACTCTGGTAGTAACGATTGGGGAGACCTGGGGATAGTATTTTGCCAGTGTTTGGGTACCCCTAAGTGTTGTGTTTTGTATTAGGGTCCCACGTGGTTTCACTACCCTAAGCTGCATCCAGCTTCAGTGCTTATCCAGTAGTACTTTACCCTAGCTTGTTATTAGTGTAAACCTTGTATCCTGCCTACGTGGACCAAGGCTTTTAACGTAAGATAGTGTGGTAAAGTTATTATTATTATTGTTATTGGTGTGAGTGTAAATGGGGGGTTGTTAAGGGGTTAATAAATAAGTACATGAATTACAGAGTATCTCTTCTTCCAAGGTGGGAGCGCAGTGATCAACCCTTAGACTAACATATTTGGTCTTGTAGCAAGTTATTACTACTGTGGATAGTTTATTTTGGGGGCCGGGCCTTTTAGCTCTCCCATATTTGATACTCCTGTCTTCTAACTACCTATACCCCTTAATAGTACCAGTACCCCATAGAAGCCCCACTCATATCATTTGTAACAAGTGGTTGGCCAGTCCGGGAGGAACATTATAAGTGTAAAAAATTAGATTCTTGAGTGCCAAAATTAAAATTTTGTATTTCCGCAGAACGGTTGTGTGCTAGCCTAGGTTCCAGCTCATCTAGCAAAGGACATTCTTGCACTGACTGGACACCCAGCTGGATCCCTTCACGATTAAGGTTAGTGTGGCCTTGTGTTAGGGGCCGTGCAAATTTTTGTTTTTTCCAATTTTTATTCTTTAATTTTTTCTTTGGCTGGGAGCTAAAATTATTAGTGATGTCTTCTGAAATGCAGAACCTGGCAAGGGAGCCTTCAGTGGTAGAGATAAAGAAACTTAAAAAGTCTAATTTAGTATTGTTAGGCCAGGAATTTGGCCTAGAATTAAATGTTGCAGATAAAAAGTGGACTTTGGTGAATGAAATATTACAACATTGTATTGATGAACAACTATTGGCAAGTGATACACCTTTATGCCAGCCTAGCCAAGCAGAAAGTGCAACTCATAGGGAAAGTGAATTAGCTTTAGAGTTAGCAAAAATAAAATTAGAGGAGCAAAGACTCAAAACCGAGGAGGCTAAAATTAGAGCGAATGCCACTAGACCTCCACCTGCCGGGGATTCAAACCCCAGGCATTATGAGAAAAAGCATAATTTGCCTGAATTTTCCGAGTCTGACCCTGAAAGGTTTTTCAACCATTTTCAGAGAGTGGCCACGTCCATGAACTGGCCAAAGGAAGAGTGGGTGAAAATCCTACAGGGAAGACTTAGGGGTAAAGCACAAGATATTTTTATAAACATGCCTGACGACGAGTGTTTCGAATATGATAAAGTCAGGGAATGTATTTTGCGGGCATATGAAATTACTCCTGAAGCTCACCGCCAAGTTTATCGTA